TGAATACTTTTACAAGTATTAAACATTTGAAAGAAGAAGAAATAGCAATTATAGTTATAATTTTTATTTTTTAAAACATGTTAAAATCTAAAGAAAATATAACTAGAAAAAATAAGCATAATAGGTAGCATAATTGGTCAGTGCATTCGCCCGGATTGCGAAGGGTGCGGGTTCAAGTCCCGTCTGCGGACCAAGCAGGTCCGCGTGGAATTTTTTCTAATTTTTTCTAGTTATATTTTCTTTAGATGTTATTCATTGTTCAAAAACATCTGTTATTTTTAATTGAAAAAAGGTGGCAAAACTAAGTATAGCTTTGTACTATGGGCGCTTTATAATGTATAAACATACAAGTACGTAGTAAAAATATTCAAGTGTTCATCATACAAATATTTCACGGGATTCGAAACCGGGGCCACTAGATTCGTAGTCAGGGTCACTGACCTTATATAAATTAATATGTATTAAATATTTTCTATCTGTATTACACTTTATTAAAAAAAAAACAATAAGTAGTCCTATTTTAAATATATACCACTACTGCGGTCGCCCACGAATTTACCCACATTAACTTTAGTTTTATGAGAATAACACAGGAACGTTACCTTTTTCCGGGATAGAAAATATCCAATGTCTCAAATTCTCAATCCAGATCATAAACTATATGCTTACTAAATTTTAAATCTTTATAACTAAGTTCATAAGAAATATTAATTTTATTTCAAGCATTAAACATAAACTACTAAATTATTTAAACACACAAAATAGATTAAAACTACTAAATAAACTAAATACTTATACCAAACTAAAAATAAAACTATATTATGTAAAAAATCGACCCCAAATCTCTGAGCTCGCAGGCTAGGGTGCCCAAGAGGCTGGCGGCATTTCCCCGTTGAATGGCCAGGCTCAACCTTTGTCCGAAATGCGCGCCAGCCCTTGGATCCCCTGAAGCGTCGATGAGGCGTGTGGAAATCTCCTTATGATGACAGTCTTCCGCACCCCAAGGCCCCAAGGTCTCTACGGCAAAAGGCGCAAATATAAATTACTAAATTTTATCGAAATCTGTTCAGTAGTTTTTGCGTGATAAAGTAACAAGCATACAACAAATACACAAACTTTCACATTTTTAATATTTATAGGATACTAGCTTTGTCCCGTGGTGTTACCCGCGGTTTATTAGGGATATATTCCCGCAGTAAAACGTAGCCTATGTGATAAGCCAGGGTGACAGCTAACTCCATACCAAATTTTATTAAAATCGGTCCAGCCGTATAGACGTGAAGAGATAACAAACATACACACTATGTGTTATTCTAGGGTGTCAGCTAACTCCATATCAAATTTTATTAAAATCGCTCCAGCCATTTAGACGTGAAGAAGTAACAAACATACACACTCACATACTCACACACTTACTAACTTTCGCCTTTATAATATTAGTGTGATGAACGGATTGGAGAGAAACCTATCGTCTTTAACAAAAAAAAAATATAATTATCAAAATCCGAATTACAAAAACAATATTCATATCTTTAAATATTTGCCGTGTTGGAATTTCAACAATAGTAATTTAGTTCTTTTTAGTGTCAAGGTCGAATGTTTTCTCGTAACAAAGTGAAAATAATGCTCCATTCCATTAAATAGATACTTTATTCTAGAAACGTCCAAATAGAAAATGTCTTTTTGTTGTTCAGTCTGTTATTGATGTCAATTATTTATTATAAATGTATTAAAATAACGTGATACATGTTGTGATACTGTTACAACTTTGTTTTGTTTATCACAAAACTCTTTAGTGTCTTTATTTATTTTTTTGTTAATTTCGTCTCCAATTCTACGCTCAGCCTTTGCAAAGGAGATTTCACTTTAATAAAGAACACTCAAAAAATATAGCTGAATTGGGAACATTCAAGTCGTACTTTTTGAAGTCTGTAAAAATACCGTTATCTTTACTCGTACACTTAGCACGAACCACGATTGAATTCGAATAGTTGAATTCGATGTCGATACATGTCGATCATATGGCAAGAAGTTTTCTATGGAAGTTTGAACAGCACCACAACGGACGGAACGAGAATTAAATTCCTTACATGACTTCTTGACATTTGCAGCGTATTGAGACCGAATTCAACTATTCGAATTCGATATTAATTCTTGCTAAAGGTATTGTAGTACCCTTAGCACGAACCAATATAGAATTCGTAAGGATCGCGAGTACGGAAAGTCATTGTCAAATGTATACGGATTTTTGGTTTTCGTTACGTCCATTGTGGCGCTGCTGTTCAAGTTTCCATACAAAATTTGACCATGACATTTGGCGCTCGTAAACTATTCGAATTCGATAATGGTTCGTGCTAAAGGTAGTAAGGCAATTATGGAAAATAAAATGTCACTTCCGAATGGGATAGCTGTCCACTTAGACAGTAGTTTGATATGCATTATGCCATTAAACGGCAAACGGTCGCAAAGATTTTTGAAGCAGCCGGTAAAAGATAGGTATTTGGCAATATTCAAAAGTACGAATTAATGAGATCATAAGGTAGATGCTTAATTGAAAAATGATCAACTGTGTAATTCATATGATATTCATTAGATTTAATTTCGCTTATAAATAAAATAAATAAATAAAAATATCCAACAATCACACCAATTAGCCTAGCCAAAAAGTAAGCACTGTAGGCTTGTGTTATGGGATACTAGGGTAACGGATGGAATACATATACTTTACATATATAATTATATTTCTATAGAAATACATATGAAACATCCATGACTGGTGTACAAATGCTCGTATTCATCACACAAACATCTGCCCCCACCGGGATTCGAACTCGGGACCTCTCGCGTCGGCGACACCTTAAAACCCGGCGTACAAACCACTCGGCCACGGAGGTCGTCAATTTATTTCGCTTATTTCTTCATTTTCCAGGAAAATCTTAACAAGTGTTTAAACCAATGACTTATTTCAATTAAATATAAATGGCGATCCATTTGGCATATTCCCGATGCATTCGCTAATGTGTATTTTAATTCACCGTGAGACATGCAATCTCACCTTGCAGAGAATCATTATTTTAAAAGGTTTCACAAACACCTAGAGAAACGAGATAGGTAATTATAATAATGAATACAGGATTGCATTGCAAAAAAAATAAATATGACGAAGTAATATTGATTTCTATAGGAAAAAGTTTAGTAAAAATTTGTTTAACAAAAAAAGGAATAAGTACTATTACTATTTGAGACAATTACGAAGAAAGAAAAATCTTAAATCTACCTAACAAAAATTCCTTCGAAGAAAACATTAAAAGTGACTTTGCTTCTAACGCGTAAAACCATTCTTTGAAAAACAAAATAAAAAAAATATAATTATACTTAAAAAACTACAATAAAATATCATTAGCTTTACAAAGCTGCCGCTAGATGGCGCTTTACCAACGGCTTCTGAATCGCTCTACTCCGACTACATTTTTTTATAAAAAGTATAGGTGCACTCGAAATGTACACAGGCTCCTGATATTACAGTTTTCTGGTAACTACAGGCAACTACATAACCCTACACTACGCGTGGTACCTACGACACGCACTTGTTTTTTTTCAGTTTAACAAAACTAGACCATGAACTTCTACAACCTTTAAATAATTTTTTCCTCTCATAAAAAGATCTGCACCAGCACATATTGTACCAGGATAAGTGTCACAGAAATACTTACATAATACCGATTATATACCTACCGATTTTTCAAGCTACTAATACAGATTTCCTTTGTTATAAAATTCACCTTTCTTGCCCGCTGAAAAGAAAAAAATTTGTGTGCATGGACCATACATCTGAAGTGAAACTTCTTTTCTTAAAATTATAACCTTACATTAGGCGGTGCAAAAGGCATAGCGGAATGGAGCAGCGCACGCATATGTCATATAGATATACTATCGCGTGTGACGCTCGTGAAGCTCGTAGCGTTTCAGCCTTTGCCGCGTTACCCTCCAACTTTCATACTGGCTGGGAAGAGCTGCGCACGCAACCCACACACACGCACACATATATATGCCTATATACATACTAGATGACCCAGCGAACTTCGTACCGCCATAAAAATAGGGGCAGATGGTAGAAGAGAAAATTTAGGATTGTATGTATTTTTAATACCGCATTATAAAAAAAATGTCCAAAAAATATTTAAGGGGTGTGGTGTAACGTAGTGTTCAACCAATTTCCTGGGATAACATTCCTCCTAACCCATATGAGAATAGGTACTACGTTACAATACCCAATAGTTTGAATTTTGGCGCGAAGGCGCATTGTAGGTTTCAGAACACTACGTTACAGGTGGACAACTATTATCACTTAAGGATATGAAAAATTGATAGAAGCCGATTCTCAGACCCACGGAATATGCATATAAAATTACATAAAAATATAATTAAAAATATATATTTAGTCGTGTGGCGCTCGTGACACATTTCCGTTTCATCTTTTCCATAACATCAAAAGTGGCGCTTTTATTTTAAGTATTTTTTTTATTCATCTTTAGAATAACATTTTTAATTGTTATTAAAAAAACAATGGTTGCCTGTAAAGTCGGTTTTACGGGCGAAGATTTTACGTGACAACGTCTTTTTCTCGGTAGAATATTTATTGATATGAATATAATTAAATTGCACAATAGGAACAAGGAATTGAATGAAAATAAGAATTGCACAAATTTTAACTATAGAAATATATTTTGTTTACTAAAACATTGTACATGTAAACTTAAACTTAACACGAGAGACTCATCGTAACGTTACCGAGCGTTACACTTTTTCATAAGTGACTCCCAGCCGCAACCTAATTTAAGACGTTGTCACGTCAAAAAAAAACTCTTCATGAAATTTTCGTAAAAACAGCGCATGAAAATTTGCTCGTTTTCCCCAGCGCGGCGTTTTAAACCATCACCTCCTTTAAGAGTAAATCCGTTTTATTTTTTCATGTTGAAAACATTCTCTCGTTGTTCCAGATGATATTGGGGGCTTGGACTACAGCATGTCGTCGATAAACTCCAGCGGAGACCTCAAGAGTCCGAACGGCACGCCCCCCGACAAGAAGATCAACGAATCTGATGCTGAGAAACAACCGCTGTCTGGGGTGAGTGGCTGTCCTAATGGCAGCAGCATTGCCAAAATTTGTTCTTCTACTCCTGTTTCTTACACTGGTTTGTCATTTTAAGCATTAATTTACGCCCGAAATGGGCAAACTGTTGGCAATACCAAATTTTAAGAACCATTTGTACACAGTTCTGGACAATAAATGATTATCTTATCTTATCTTATCTTTGCATGAAGCATCAAAATAAATCTAAAGATTTTATTTTACTAGAAATAATTCCACTCGATCTTCCTGGCTCCTGACTCCAGTATCCTGCCTGATATCCTATAAACCTTATAGTTGTTTAATTTGGTTGGTGATGGATTACAATGTGGACAGACAGTGGAGCAGTGAAGACATTACACAGAACAGTACCCCTAGCACGAACCATTATAGAAATCGAATAGTTTGCAAACTGAAATGTCAATGTCAAATTATGTATGGAAACTTGAACAGCAGCGTACACATTTGACAATGACATTTCGTACTCGCAAACGATACGAATTCGATATTGGTTCGTGCTAGGGGTACTGTACCCTTAGCACCGAACTAATATCGAATTCGAATCGTTTGCTAGTCCGAAATGTCATTGTCAGCAGCGCCACAGCAGACGTAACGAAAACTAAAATCAGTACACATTTGACAGTGACATTTTGTACTCGCAAACGTTACGAATTCGATATTGGTTCGTGCTAAGGGTACTGACAGCGATCACCTTTTCATATATAGGTATCGCTCATCGGTTTTGTTTACACGGAATGTGATTACTAGTGATTTTATTGGGCGAGAAAATAGTCGATTCTTGGTCGCCTCCTCGCCGGCGCGGTCAGACTCTTCATTTCCTTTTGTCAGTGGAAAACGGGTACTCTATACCCAGTTTTATTTTGGTACACAAAGATTTCAATATTAACGCACGTGTAAATTAATCTTATTAATTAATTTACACGTGCGTTTATTTGTCAAGATATTTTCTGTTACTATTTTTAAACTTACATTGATTTCTGATAAAGAAATAGATAAAAATGATATGATATGATTGTGGATGAGTGGATGGTTCGTTAAGCTCATTATGAGGTTCTTATCATTTATCAAATGCTTATTTTAATAAGTAGGCTTGTACGTGCTGGACTGGAAACAATTATGTTACCGCGGCCATCGGGGCCTTGGTAGCATAATTGTATAATTGTAGCGGCCAGTGCATTCGCCCGGATAGCAAAGGGTGCGGGTTTGAGTCCCGTCTGCTGCCTGGTCCACGTGGAATTTTTTCTAGTTATATTTTCTTTAGATTTGAACATCAAGCAGTTACATTCTTAAAAAAACGATAATTGAATTTAGAACTTACTAATAATATTAAGTTTAAGTGACGTGTTCTCTCATTCTATTGTTAGCGCATAGAGAGTGACAGCATTAACTTAAGTCAAACTATAATTTCATTGACTTCTCTAATTGACAGGCGTGATTCATTCACAGTGTCCCCTGCGCACCTACTTTTTCAATCGATATCAAAAGATGGAGGTTCAAAAACTCGATTGTATGTTTGTTTAGGCTCGGTTATCAAGTTTGTTTTGCGGTCCAAAAAGCACTAGTATCGAAGATGAGATTCACAGATAGAGCCATGTCAGACATAGTCGTAAACAAAGGCAAACTAATTATTCGAAGAACAAAACGGCATTTTCCCACTGACAATAATCGTTCTGCTGTTACATAAATTGCTCACAGGAAAATTGCCTACACGACTACTGATGGATAAATGTTTAATTCTTGCCATTAAGACGTATGTGACAAAGATTTCTACTGCTCTATTATCTTTTTATTGAGTTTCCCTATGAATTAGGGACATTCCCTGACACTTTGCACGATGAAACTTAATTTTTCTGCGTACAATGTTATCTATAAATAAACCATTTATTTAACCTTGTCTAAGTTTGATAGTCATTATTAACAACACATCACTGCTCAAAAAATTACCCTCTTGTGCTAGCCCTAAGATTAGTTTCTTGAAAAATGATCCGAATATTGAAACAATGTATCTGTATACTTACTTACTTGACTGTAAAATAAAGACCCTTGGTGGTAAAAAAATAGTGTGCACGGACCACACATCTGAAGTAAAACTTCTTTTCTTATATAACCTAACATTAGCCGGTGCATAAGACATAGGGGAATGGAGCAGCGCACGCTTCACTCATATATATATTGTCGTTATATATACATATTTATTGTCGTGTGTCGCTCTTGACGCATTTCATCTTTTCCGTAGGATTTTTCCTTTTATACCCCGTCTGTAAAGAAGCTTCACTTCAGAAATCATGTGAGCTCTCCAACATGTACAGCATGTATGAAGAAAAGCGCGTCCGGCATGTTTTGATGAAAACCTCAGATGTTTGGTGTTTTAATAATTAGGTCATTACGTATGAAATAGCCGTTTTTTATGAAATAAGTGAACGCTTTTTTTTCTATATTTTTGATTTTGATTAATCAAAGTATGGGTAATTACATATGCAATAAATTAATTTTTGCCAACGTAAAGGTAACTTATCGATGCCTTTTTTGAAAAAATCTCTAAGTAAATACCTCAACAAGGACTATGATTCGTGAATAAGGTCAGCGACAGTCACTGCATTTATTTGCCTTTAATTTATTGTTATAATTATTAATACTTTATGTCACAGCAACCAAAATGCAGGTAAACAATTAATGTATATTTAATCATTATGTAATGAAAGGTGACTTCATGAATCATCTCTGAAGTCATTTTTCAACTTGACGACCCTGTAAATAATAAAACAGGGAGAAAAAAATAGCATTTGTTGAGTTTCTTGCCGTTTCTTCTCAGTAGAAGGTCTCCCGCCGTAGATTTACGAACTGATGGCGTGGCTACTAGACATTCGTGAGTGCTTGTAACAGCTTAACTGAATAAATGATTTTGATTATTATTGATTATGTTTCATATACGCCCAAACATTGTCGATTGGATTGGTATCATGGCACGGTGAGCGCCACCAACACCTCAATATTTGTTTTCATTTTCGAAGTCGTACAGAATCAAAAAGACAGACAGAATCAGAAACAACTTATTTGTTTTCGCTTTTCCGTAAACTTTCGTCATTTTCTGAGCATGCAAAGTACTGAGGGGAAAATTTATGATTTTTACAAAACATTTTCGGAAAAGGTTCATCTGTTCAACCGTATTTTTTTTATTATTAAAACGCATACCATATTGTTTTTGCATTCTCAATGCAGCTTTTTTTCATGACTTTCCAGAAAGTAGATATTTCTTAACAGTCCTCTTTTAGCAAGAACTGTAAGAAAACCTTATGTTTTTTTTACATAAAAATTTTGAAAAATTTATGAAAGGATTATATAGAAGGATTACCATTCAATCGTATTTTTTTATTGAAATACATACCAAATTCTTTCGAAATATGTCAGTCACGTTTTTGTCGAGCACACTGTAATATAATTATTTAAAAGTCCTTTTGAAAAATGACACTTCACCAAAATGGAAACACCTCGTAATATTGAAAAGTGTCATTCTGTCTCTATTGTTTCGCAATATTGACGATAAATGCTAAATGGGGCGTTGTGGTGTATGTTGCTATTGGAATGAGTTTAGCATTCCATACCCGAATAGTCATCACGGAACCCTGCTAGATACTTACAAAAGTATGACGACCTCCGTGGCCGAGTTGTTTGTACGTCGGGTTTAATGGCGTCTCCGACTCGAGAGGTCCCGGGTTCCAATCCCGGTGGGGGCAGATATTTGTGTGATAAACACGAGCATTTGTACTCCAGTCATGGATGTTTAAATATCTATTTCTATATATATATACTTATATATGTAAAGTATATGTATTCTATCCGTTACCCTAGTATCCCATAACACAAGCCTTATAGTGCTTACTTTGGGGCTAGGCTAATTGGTGTGAGTGTTGGAAATATTTATTATTATTTATTTATTATTAGTATTAGCTATTCGTCCGTCTGCCTTTAAAGCAAAGAACGGGTGACCAAACAATTGGTCTGGTTTTATGAAACCACATATAGTATATATGAAATCTGTCTATATATATAAAAATCAATTGCTGTTCGTTAGAATTCGAGCTATATATATAGTTGCTAAAATTCTAGAACGGCTGAACGGATTTATCTTATCTTGGTCTTGAAATGTTCGTGGAGGTCTAGGGAAGGTCTATAAGGTGAGAAAATCAAAGATTTAAAATCTTTGGAGAAGATATGGAAAAATTGCGAGGAAGATAGTAACAACGCCAATTAAAATTTCCCATATAAACTGTTTTATCTTCTTTCCTGTCAAACATTTGACGTTCGTCCCTTTTGGTACGGTAGACTTGGGTCCGTCATTTCTTCCAAATTATTTTAACCCGTATGAAGTACGCGGGGTCAACTAGTATATATATCTTTATATATATAATTCTTCTGTGAGTGTGTATGTCACTGAACTTCTCTTAAACGACTGGACCGATTTTGATGAAATTTTTTGTGTGTGCCATTCTCAGATCCCCTTGAATCTGAGAATGGTTTAGATTCACAATTTTGTCCGCTGGACAACCCCTATTTTTTTAGGGCGGTACGAAGTTCGCTGGGTCAGCTAGTATATATATATATAATATATAGGTATACAATGAATATAAGTGAAACTTTAAAAGTGTTTTTATATTTAGTTAGAATGACACCACCACAATTCGGTAGAGTACTTCCCCAGACAGGCGCTATGACTCGAGGAGAATATCCCCTATTTTCAATCTCTCATATGTAATAAATTCTTATATTATAACTTTAGACAATGTTATTGAAAAGCGGCTACAAACTACGGAGTCTATAACGGTAATTCTCAGCTGACCTGATTTTTGAGCGTCCATACAAATATCTAATAGTTTGTAATACTTTGGGGTTGATTATTTTTTAATAAGAAATGTAATTATATACACTTAATTCATTTGGTAAAAAATCATCCTAATTTTTTTTCCAAGCTTTTCTCC